TGGTGTGCATGTTATTGAGCCCTAAACAGTGCTGATTTTACACTGTTTTCAATGGGGCTTGAATTAGTGGACTGTACCCTTGAGCAGGACCAACAGAGGGCACAATTTTCCTGGCAAACAGAGGCTCCTTTGGTGGGAACTGCACTTTGGTGATCATGAACAACCACGAAATGCAAGTGTACATGTAGCAGTCGCATCGCTACCAACAACATGAACACTCCCAACAAACACGGCTCTTTTAAACTGGTGAGGGGGTGTTTCTCCTGAAGGCGGGGAGGGATCTGAATCCTATTCCTGAATGAAAATTTTAAACCTAGTTGAATTAAACAGGTGGATTGCTGGGGGAGGACCAAGGTAATTTATTTCACAATTTTGAGCACACAGAAGATTAACTGTGGCACCACACATAGAACTGATTATTGAATTGAGTCACTTCCAGAGACTGTCATGTTTGGCCCACTGGTGCATGGCTAATCCCAGCATGGTATTGTGTTCATGCATGCATTTATCATCACACATCAACTGTTGATGTGCCTGACTACAGTTGATGATCATGCAAATCAAGCTTGAAGAAGAACCACCACCTGATAAGAGTATTACGGCCAAGACACATGCTATACATCAGTGGTAACCCTGGTCAGGTAAATACATGTATGTCTGTATAATATGTATGACAATGGGGAGCAACCAATTAATTATCCGGACTGATTTCATGACGGTTCAAAGGTGCAACAGACTAGAATTTAACCCCCCCCCCAAAAAACCCCAAATTACAAAAAGTACACAATCTGATCCTAGGAAATGCACCTGCCCATTAACCCTAAAAGAGCTAGGCTTTTTCAGACCATGGGGGGGGGTAAGAACTCCCTGGCCCATATCCAATCTTACTGATCGAAAACTTTGCAGGGAAATACAACTGTAAAGTTTTCATAATAGAAAGTAGGTTTGCGGTAGCACCATGGACGTATCTCTTTTGTGAGTATTTGCGGTTCTGAAAAGAACCAGTGGTACTCGACATTTCGAGCAGTATGCTCTGCTCGTCATCAGGAGTAAAGTTTTTGACACAATCCAGCGTACATATACATGCACAAGCAAGGTTTTGTTCATGGTCATTTGAGGTTCAAGGCCACAGGCGTGTCAGCCATGTGACTGAGAATGTCAATTGAAAACTATATACATGTACTTTCGGCTGACCTGTTTTGGAATAATGGACACTGCACAAGAACGGTTAAGCCAGCTTTCATAAAACCGGTGTCAGATGATCACAAGACATTCCTGAAATTATTCTGAAGGCTCAGCGTCTGGAAAAAATGCACTGCGTCATTTGTAGGGGCAACTTACTGTAGAGGAGGCGGATTATGCCCTCACCAGTTCTTTTAGAATTAAAGTTAAAGTTAAATTAAAAAGTATGAGATAAAAATGAAAAAACCAGTTCCACCAAATTAGGGATTATGTATCCCACCAAACACCTGTACACTGTAATGACCTTGACCTTTTGGATCCTTATGCTTCTGCAGGGTACAACTGACCCACAAGTCATGTTTAAAGTTGACAAGTCAAGTTGTTCTGAATTACTGTGGTAATACACTGTACTTGAAGGCACCTGTACACACACAGGACTAAACAAGCGCAGTATGCCCTCAAGGATAAGTATTCTCTTGCCTTTCCTCAAAACGTGAGTTCAGGTCATTGTTACTTTCTCCGCACGTGCATAGCAAACATTTAATATGCCAGTTGCAAAATAGAATTTTTGTCCCGTTTAAAACTACAACTGTAGTTATGAAAACACTGGGCATGCTGGTAGGAACATTAGTCAATTAGACTTCCGAAGCACAATATTTTCTACCCTGTCTTCTCTTTTCATCATCCACTCAATTACATTCACAATAATATATATTCACCTTCTCAAGTTTAATGAAGTTAAATTTTGTAATCCATATTGCTGCCCCATTCATTTGAAATGAGAAAACTGCAGGTGTCTCGCCAATTCTGTTCCCCACTGTGCATGCCCCCTCCACACTACACTACTGTTGATGCTACCCTACTGTTGA